TTTTTTTAAATCTAACTTCATAAAGTTCTTTAAAAATATTTTGTAAATGAGGCCATAAGAGCTTAGGGGGAGAGTTACAACACAAAAATACATTTAAGGCGCAGCGAAGCACGCCGGGTAATTGCTAGTTTTATTTATACTTGAAATCAACGAAATTTTCTTTTAATATTCAGAGTGCTCGAGCACGTTATCTTTTATGCTCAGAAATCCACACTTAAGTTATAAAAAAATAATAATAATTTTGTACAATACATAGAAAATTTTACCAACTTTTTCCTTTCTTAGGGCCGTTAACTTTCATTATATGTTTCTACGTTGTTTAGATCTAAAAAATAGCGCACAATGCAAAAAACGGCAAAAAACATACCAAAGTTTTTATAATAAGTAATACAACACAGAAAGTTTTTTCCGTGCATTACCACCAACACATTCCCATTTTTTGTTTCATAACTAATACATTCTCATATTAAGACTTTTCTCTTTTTGGCGGGAAGTGGTTTAGAGCAAAGAGAACAGGATTATGAACGGATAAGGGCGGATATTTTCGAAGAAGAGCCCAAACTTGTGGTTTCTGAAAATATTCTTCAGTGTTGGAAAAGATATTCTAGCCGAGTAAATATGCGAAAACTTTTGCAAAGTACAAAAATTCTTATAACGCCAGACAAACGACCACTAGCAAAGATTAAAATACACGATAGTTTCGTTGTTGGTTTGTTGGATTCCGGAGCAAACGTTTCCATTCTTGGAAACGGATGTGAAGATTTCCTATAAAGAAACAATTTAAAATATCATCCTTTGCGCGCGTTTGTTTACACCGCTGGCGGAAATCAGCAGAAAATACTCGGCTCGATATCTTTTCCGGTCACTTTTAAAAACATTACTTCGCTTTTATCTTGTACCGTCATTAATCCAAGAGGCATACCTGGGAGTTGATTTCTGGAAGGCACTTGCGTTAGCGCCGGATATATTTCCAACCGTTTTCTGTTTAGATTTTCCAAATGAAGATGAGCCAAACTTCCATCAGCTCACACCATATAGACACGAGTGATGCAGTGCCAATTAAAAGTAATTACTTTCCTCTTTCACCACCCAGGCAGGCGGAAGCCTATAGCGAAATTGAAAGGCTACTCAAGATGGGAGTGATTGAGGAATCGAATTCACCATGGTGTAGTCCAGTGGTACTAGTCCGGAAACCAGGCAAAGTCAGGCTGTGCATAGATTCCAGAAAGGTGAACGCGGTCACCAAGAAGGACTCGGTTCCGTTGCCCCATATTGATGAGCCGTTGAGCAGGTTAAAGGATACATACTTTACAAGTGGTATTGATTTGAAGCATGCTTTCTCCAAATAAAATTAACGGAATCGTCTAAGGAAAATACGGCATTTCCGGTTCCAGGAAAGCCATTGTACCACTTTAAAGTGACGCCCTTTGGCCTGTGCATTGGACCACAAACAATGAGTCGGCTGATGGATAAGGCTATCCCTTCACGATTGCAGGAGAACGTCTTCGTCTACCTGGATGACCTGATGGTGTGCAGTCCAACTTCGAAGATTATTTGGAATAGCTGAAGGATGTGGCGAAATGTTTACGGGAAGCGGGACTTACAGTCAACGTAAAGAAGAGCAAGTTCTGCCAGAAGGAAATTCGGTATCTCGGGTACTTGATAGGGAATGGTTGTTTGAAAGTAGACCCGGGCAAATAGAAGCAATAAAGGATTTTCCGATTCCAAAATCTCCTCGTCAGGTTCGCAGGTTTATAGGAATGGCAAATTGGTTCAGGTCGTTTAATACCAATTTTGCAGATGTGGCTGGTTCAATGACACATTGCCTTCGAAAGTCACCTGCTCCATTTAAGCTAACTCCTGAGGCAGTCTAAGCATTTGGCAAACTTAAAGTTGAGCTCGGTTCAGCGCCTGTCCTGGCACAACCTGATTTTAGTAAAGAATTCGTGAACCAATGCGATGCATCCAAAATAGGTGTAGGAGGCGTAATATTCCAGCTCGATGAGGAAAGATCAGAGCATCCCATAGCTTTCGTATCAAAGAAGCTGAATAATGCTCAGCGGAATTATACGGTCACCGAGCTGGAGTGCCTCGCCGCAATAGTTAGTGTCAAGCGTTTCAGACCTTTTCGAATAATTAGTGACCATTAATTAGTGCCTTTTCGAATAATTAGTGACCATTCAAGTCTCAAGTGGCTAATGACACAAAAAGACTTGAGCGGCAGGCTGGTAACATGGTCGATTCTATTGCAAAGATACATTTTTACGATAGAGTATCGCAAAGGTTCTTTAAATGTTGTGCCGGACACCCTTTCGCGTTTTGACGTGGACGAACTCTCTTCTACCCCGCCTCTAGAAATCGACTTGGCATCACCGGAATTCGACAGCGTAGAGTACTTGGAGCTTCGTGAAACAATTGAAAACAATCACGAAGGGCTACCCGATCTACGCGTATCGATAATCAAGTTTACAAAAGAGTGATGTTTCGAAGAGAGTAGAAGAGGAAGAGGATTCGGATACCGAAAGGGCTGACGGAGCTCGCAATCAAATGCTCACATGATTCCAATGCTACTTACCATGGAGGTTTACAGAAGACATTAGAGCGTGTTCGGCAGAAGCATTTTTAGCCGCAAATGGCAAAGGACATACGCCTTTATGTGAACCGATGCGAAACCTGCAAAACCGTGAAAGCCACCAATCAAGTGTCCAGACCACCTATGGGCAATGCTTTCGTATCCGAGAGGACATTCCAGCGTCTTTATTGCAATTACTTAGGTCCATATCCAGGATCAAAGCGAAGAAACCAGTTTTTTTTTTCATAGTGCCAGACCATTTTTCTAAATACGTGTTTTTGAAGGCGATGCAAAACGCGACGTCGGCATTATATATCAACTTCTTTAATACAGAGATTTTTCCGGCTTTCGGGGTCCCTCAATTCGTCCATAGTGATAACGGGAAGCAATTCATTTCGAAGGAGATGCAACAGTTTTTTGAAAAACGGGGTTGTTCACATTAAGACGGGGTTATACTCACCGCAGGCTAACGCCTCTGAACGAGTGAACAGGGAGATTGTTTCGAAAGTTAGAATATTCCTGAAAGACAAACAAGATCACATGGACTGGGACAAACATATTCCCGAAATTCTATCGGTTTTAAGAAGCGATTACTATACGTCGATTCAGAGCTCGTCATACTACGCGTTTTTTGGACCAAATATGATACAACACGCGTCAGCCTATAACATACTGGAAAAACTTGGTAGCCTAAGACAAGACGAAGTCGCGATTACAAGCAAAGCTGACAAGCTAGCAAACATTCGCGAACACATACGGAAGAACCTTGAGCAAGCGCAAGACAGAGCAGTCAACACGTACAACAAACGTACGAGGGTTGTGAATTACCGGGAAAGACAAGAAGTATTCCGGAACTTTGCTCTTAGTAATTTCAAGCAAGGCATAAATGCTAAGTTCTTGCCGAAATACATCAAGTGTCGTATTCTGCGAAACGTAGGCAATGCTTTGTATGACTTAGAGAATTTGAATGGCAAACCGATGGATAGGTTTCATGCATCAGACATCCGGCCGTGACACTGTCATCTGTCACGAAGAGCGATCCGAAGTAAAGCATTTTTCCCCAAATTTATTAATCACGTTTTTTCTCAAATTTATATATATACACGTTTTTCCAATATTCAACTTAGGGATAGGGTAAAACCTTGACCGCCCGCAGACTGCCCGGGGTCCAACTTTGCATGGCTTTTCCTCGAAGCTAAGTCACGTAGAGCTGTAGCTCGCTTCTGTAACTCTTCTCTACCGGTTATTTCTCTACTGGTAAAGAATATACGTCATTCTCTACTACTCATTAGCAATGGAGAACAAGGCGGCAAATTCAGATATAAATTCGCCCTGGTAGAGAATTGGGAGGGACCGTACTGTGAAGACCGACTAAGTTCGACAATTGGGGGGTGGCTAACTCTAGCCGATGAATGTAAAAAGAATATCTTTTTTTCTCTTACTGTCTTTTTCACTGGGCGCTTTGGCGGTCGCGGACAATCCGCCCAGTATCCTCCCCGAGCATTTATATTCATAGGACGTTCACGCGTGCTTCCACCGGGAGCCGTGAACGGCCTGACAATCCGCACTCCCATTAGGATTGTCTTTTAGGAGTTTTGACGAGATCTCCTTACCAAAATGTCTAATTCATTTCGGAGTTTTGATGAGTTCTCCCTATCAAAATGTCTTTACAATTTATTTCGGAGTTTTGACGGGTTCTTCTTATCAAAATATCTTCAATCTATTTCGGAGTTTTGACGAGTTCTCCATTAAGAAAATGTCTCTTGGGCCGCAAAGCCATAATGAATAGGAAATAAAATATATATATACATGTTTTTCCCAGCCACCGGACGGCTATAAACTCGCGGCCAAGTGTCCTTTTCTGGCCTAAAATAATAGAGAACCACCACAACACAGAGTTTACTTGGTTTTATTAATTAATTAAATTAAATTATTAACCAGATCAGTAGACTTATTGTTGCAGAGACCGGCTACACAATAACGAGTCCACGCAGCATTATAAGCGAATACTGACGCGGATTATAGTAAATGTGTTGACTTCGGTATTTTCGTAACATCAATACTGAGTCGGACGAGCCCTAACTGCCACCTGACGTAACTACGGGGTGTTATTTTTTCCCCCGGCTAAAGACTTATTTTTTTCTGAGACTCTATATCTCAGGGGTGAGTCGTGCCCCACGCTCTACTGATCTTACCACCCTGTTACACTACCGGACGCCTTGTGGAAGACAGTTAACCCCTTTTCCTGTTCGGTTCGGTGACGGGTCGTAAAGTGAAGTAGGTTTGTTATGGGTTACTCTAGTGCACCCGGTAGCACGTCAGAAATTTCACCATCTCATATTTTTCTAGAGCGTACGGCAACGCTAAACTTGCATGGAAGGTCTGTCATTTTGACGATATCTGTGTGCCTTGCAGACAGTTGTAGCTGATTGTCACTAGTACCTGCAGGTCTGTTTGCCTGTTTGTTTTTTCGGTTAATAAACGCTTTCCAGCAGAGGTTAGTGATAGTTTGTGACAGCTGCCTGTAACTGCCCGTCTTCACAGGATGTAGTTTATATCTTGACACATCTGTTAGAATATAGAGAGCAATATATATCAGGGCTTGTATCTTGGTATCTATTGCTGGTACTGGTAACTGGGAGTTTGACGGCTGCGTTTTCCTTTTCTTAAACTTTCTGGCGGCAACATTATCAATATTCTGATATAGAGCCAGTGCCAATCGGTAACTTTTTCTGCATGGTATACGAATAAATTGAGTTTTGCTGGGCCAAACGCAAAGAAAAATTTTAACAGTTGGAAAAAAACACACTTACGCTCGTGCAGGAGCTCTATTTTTGTGTGTTGCTGACATTGTTAAATTTACATCTATTTTATAACTTGCAAGTAACGTACGTTCCTTTTGTTTTATCAGATTCCATTTTGATTTTCACTCTTTATTACCGTCAACAATATTATGTGTATAGACATTTAGACGCTGTCAAATTTTACCCAGCCCAATATATATCAGGGCTTGTATCTTGGTATCTATTGCTGGTACTGGTAACTGGGAGTTTGACGGCTGCGTTTTCCTTTTCTTAAACTTTCTGGCGGCAACATTATCAATATTCTGATATAGAGCCAGTGCCAATCGGTAACTTTTTCTGCATGGTATACGAATAAATTGAGTTTTGCTGGGCCAAACGCAAAGAAAAATTTTAACAGTTGGAAAAAACCACACTTACGCTCGTGCAGAAACTCTATTTTTGTGTGTTGCTGACATTGTTAAATTTACATCTATTTTATAACTTGCAAGTAACGTACGTTCCTTTTGTTTTATCAGATTCCATTTTGATTTTCACTCTTTATTACCGTCAACAATATTATGTGTATAGACATTTAGACGCTGTCAAATTTTACCCAGCCCAATATATATCAGGGCTTGTATCTTGGTATCTATTGCTGGTACTGGTAACTGGGAGTTTGACGGCTGCGTTTTCCTTTTCTAAAACTTTCTGGCGGCAACATTATCAATATTCTGATAAAGAGCCAGTGCCAATCGGTAACTTTTTCTGCATGGTATACGAATAAATTGAGTTTTGCTGGGCCAAACGCAAAGAAAAATTTTAACAGTTGGAAAAAACCACACTTACGCTCGTGCAGAAACTCTATTTTTGTGTGTTGCTGACATTGTTAAATTTACATCTATTTTATAACTTGCAAGTAACGTACGTTCCTTTTGTTTTATCAGATTCCATTTTGATTTTCACTCTTTATTACCGTCAACAATATTATGTGTATAGACATTTAGACGCTGTCAAATTTTACCCAGCCCCATGAGCTAAGTAAAATTCTGACGTTCACATTCACCACGAGAAATGTCAAACTTGTATTCTGAGCCGTCAAAATTTCCTCTTTTCTGGCAATTGGCACGGCCCCATACTTGGAAGAATGTGCTTGGATCTAAACTAGCCGACTTTTTTTTGCGGTTAAGTCCGGTAAAAATACTTCCAAAACGCTGATGTCAAGATATAAAAGCCCGCACAAATATTGTCCTGATATAACTTATATCTAGCAACAAAACAGATAGCTGCACAACAATAAATTTTATCCTGTGAAGTCGGCCAGTGAGGACACAGAGCTGGTGAATGGCTGCTCTCCAACCAGTTGGAGTTGTATGGCTGGTTGATGGTAACTTCGGGTAGTTTCGAACATTCTTTTTTTTACATTCCCTCTTGCACTGCGGCAAATTCCGCTAGTTTCCGATCATTCGCTCTTTTCTTAAAGCAAGCTTTAATGGAGTGGCCCTTTATATGACAAAAGTTGCACTTCTTTTCCTTGAAAAAACATTGATTGGCCACGTGGTTGCCGCCGCATCGAAAACAGCTCACGTTCTCCATCTTTTTATGTTGGTTTTTAGACGACATGGCCAGTACTTCATTGTTATGGCCCCGAACATCTCTTACATTTCGGAAGACCGCTTCGTGTGCACATGCGATTTCATAAGCGCGCTTGAAATCCAATTTTGGCTCACCGAAAAGCCGTTTTTGTAATGCTTCATCTACGACCCCACATACGATTTGGTCACGTAGCATGTTCTCGAGTTCTTTAAAATCACAATGCTCGGATAATTTTCGTAGATCTTTAACAAAATCTGCTATTGTTTCGCCGTTATTTTGACTACGCTTATGAAACAAAAATCTTTGCACAATTTCGTTCGGTTTTGGTTGAAAATGCGTGTATAGCTTCTCCACGATTTCATGAAAGGTTACATCTTTAGGCACTAGTGGCGTCAACAAGGAACGAATTATTTCATAGGTGTCTTCCCCAACACTTGACAAAAATTTCGCTCTCATTGTGGTTTCGCTTGTGATGCCATTTGCTTCGAAGTAAAACTCCATCCGCTCCTTGTAATTATTCCATAACATCGTTGGTAGGAATGGTGTCAATTTTCCGAACGATTGCGTGTGTGTCTGGTTAAGGTTCGCCATTGTGCTCTCATTAACTGCCATAGTTCCTCGTCGCCAAAATGTAAAATTTCCTATCGCGAACTCTAACGTCTAACAACCAGATCTTTTTCTACACGTGTCTTTTCTGACATCTCCGCTGCCAACCTCTATTGCCTATTCTTTGTCTTCTAAAAGTTGTAGGGTTGCCAAAGAATACTACAGAAGAGTAACGGGACTAGTCCAAATGACGTAGTGCCCGTTATTCTTCCAAATGGAACATTCCCGCAGTGCGAGGGCATAAAAACCTGATGGCAACCCCATAGTCGGTCATTGTTATTGAAGATTGTCACCCAAAATTTGCGGAACGGACGGGAGTTTTAAACAAAAGAAAAATAAATTTATGAAGAAAGGTAGTATGTCCCAAGTGGGCTGCGAAAAATTTGTATTGCAGCAGAAAGTGTGTGAAACTAAAAGTGGTGTGTTAATTAGAAAAGAAAAAATAAAGCGATACACGTTAAGTGCGAAACTCTATAAATATGTGCTGGCAGTAGGGATTAGACTTGAGTAAGAGCTGGGAAAGTAGAGCTAGGTGCTTATCAAGTCCCCCTATGTAAATTTCTCAAACGAGTTAGTGAAAAGACTAAAAAGGGTAGAGCCAAGAAAAATAAGCTTTTAAGTAATTTGTTGTTAAAGTTGCGAAATTCACCAAATATATTGATGCAAATTGTATCGATTCTATCATCCAAAAGGTGCGTGAAATATATAAATGTGAACAAATCACACGGGAACATTGAAAAGATCGTGCATTTATGCAAATATAAGTGATAGCTACATTTTTTTTTTATGAAAATTTTTAGTGGATGTGCAAACAATTTAACCAACAAATTAGTTATATACTAGTATTAAAAAAGAGTGAAAATAGTGAGAATTCATGTAAACATATCTGTTCTTAGCATCCTCGTAAGGTTTCACGAGAAAAATCGTTATAGCTTTGCTAAAACACACACATGTCGATGCACACCAAAGTCAACTCGGGCAACATATTAAACTTCACGATATAGTGGAACATCATAAGGGCGCAACGAAAAG